GCTGGGAGGGGGGAGCTTTGTATGCCTTTCTGGCTGGTGGCAGCTCTGGCCTTCCTGCCTGGGCTTCCTCTGCCCCAGAGGCCCAGAGCTGGGGGAGGAAATGGAGCCCTGGGCCGCTGCAGCTGTGTCCCCAGCCTCTGCCTGACCTCCTGCCTCTTGCCCCTCCTGGCAGGCAGTGAGGACTCCAGTAAGCACTCTGCAGTGGGACTGAAGAGGGAGCCCCAGACAAGCTGAATTTTTCTACTGGGGTATAGGCAGGAAGCCATCCTTGGCAGTAGCCTTTGCTTGCCCAGAAAGCAGCTAAGGAAAGGGTATGAGGCAGGAAGGAAAAAGTGGAAAACAATGAAGATGAATCTGGCATCCTCCTAAGATCCTCTACCCATGCTCCGCGTCTCTGGCCATGCCCAGTGCACCCTCTCACCTACTCTATTATGCATCAGGATCGCCTGAAGGACTTGCTTAGAAATGCACATTCTTTGGTCTCGCCCCCACTCCAGATTCTGATTTGGTCAGAATCTGGGACCAGCAAGAAACATGCATTTTTGTTCTTATTTTTATTTTTTTTAATGCTCATCCAAGGATATGTTTTTGTTGATTTTAGAGGGAGAGGAAGGGAAAGAGAGAGAGAAACATTGATTGTTTCCCTCCCATATGCGCCCCTACCAGGAATCAAACCCGCAACCTAGGTATGTGCCCTGACCAGGAATCAAACCCACAACCTTTTTGTGTATATGAGACAATGCTCTAGCCAACTAAACCACCCAGCCAGGGCAAGAAACATGCATTTTTAAAAAGTTCCCACCCTACCCAGTTTGGCTCAGTGGTTAGAACTTTGGCCCCCAGGCTGAAGGGTCCCGGATTCAATTCTGGCTGAGGACACGTGCCTCAGTTGCAGGCCAATCCTCGGCCCCGGTGGTCAGGGCACATGCAGGAGACAGCCAATCAATGTGTCTTTCTCACATCGATGTTTCTCTCTCTCCTTTCACTCTCTCTGAAAAGCAATAGGGGGGAAATATTGTTGAGTGACGATTAAAAATAATAATAATAATAATAATAATAATAATAATAATAATAATAGATGAAAAAGTTCCTCAGGTAATTCTGATCAGTGAGTACATAATGTCCTACACGACATTAAGACTGGTCCCATGTTTTCATTCCACAGGACCTGCTGGGTGAGTGGGAGTGGGGTGCAGAGGAAAGAACCCTCACTCCCATCCAGGGACCTCCCCCTTTACTCGAGGAGAAGGAACACGCAAGTGAAACATGACAGTCAGGGTCTTGGAAACACTGTGGAG